CTGCGTGTAATTCACCATAGTACTTGGGAATTGGGTACAGTATCTAGACTAGGTTGGGTGACTACACTGAGGCAGAATGAAAATGCTTTTGGACTAGGCATACTTATTTAGGGTACTGTATGAACTGTAAATGTATCTGAGTGTTTATCTACTTTCCCTCATCTCTTAATTTCCATATATTTGAATGTTTGGGTGCTTTGGCTGTTGGTTTGGCTTTCCACTGTAACATTCCTTGATGTGCTACTCCTGGAGGTATTCTGTGCCTCTGTGTGTGTGTAGAATTCATGTCCCCCCACAAATTTTTTTTTCTCCACAGAAAATACATTCTGACAAAGAGTCACTGCAGTTATGCCTTTTGCCCATCAGGGGCCTCTGTAGCACCAGAACAGAGGGCAACCGGCTCACTGGCCGTAGCAGTGAGCTATGGAGGAAGGAAGGAAGAGGAGGCTGTGTTCCTCACAGCGCCCTGCCCCTGGGGCCAGGTCAGGAGGCACATATGGGTGGGGGGATAGACAGAGCAGGGTACGTGGGGTTGTTGGGGGGTCACATAGACTGGGGTTCAGAAGGGCTAGTGGAGTGTCATAACCTGGGGTGGGGGCTGAATGGGAGTGGGGAGAGGGATGCAGGGACACATGAGGACACAGGCAGATGTGCCTGACTGATTGGGAGAGGCTAGGGGTCAGCCAGGCTCTGCATGGGGGAGGCTCCCCAACTCCCTAACAATCCCTTCCCTCCAAAAAAACCCCAAAAAATCTGTTCCATACTTCTCTCACACCGAACAACCCTCCTGGTTCACTCCCAGGCTCCTTTCCAGAAATTATTTCCCCCTCCGTCAGCTCCTCTGTTACCCCTGACTCCCCCAAGCCTTTGCACTGCTTCTTAGGGGTGCAGGAAACTCTTTTCTGTATTGTTTAAATGAAGTATTATTCAAAGTTCTGTATTAATATGCCTAGTAAGGAATCTATTTGTAAAAAAAAAAATCCCGAATCTTTTTTATCATCTGTATTGTTACAGACATACTTGTTGACAAGTATTTTGAAATAAATTACCAAAATAAGTGAAACTGGCATGATCATATTGTGTTATTTTGACACATAACATATGCAGAATTTTGCAGAACTTTAAAATATTGTGCACATCATTTTAAATTTTTTACTGCAGAATTCCCTCAGGCATAACAATGCACATAGGTAGTGTCTGCTCGTTAATTTCCAGGTTCTGAAGAAACAGGACAAATGTGGAGCTTAAGAGTACCACAGTATTCCTGGCTCCCATGCCTCTCCCTATGTTGTGGTGTGGTGTCTTTAGCTCCCACAACTCTCAGTGCCCTGCACAGCTTACTTACTCACTGCCTTATTTTGCAAGTCTCCCAGCTGCCATTAGAAATCACTCCTCTGCTGCACTCTGAGGACCACATGGCTCCTCACTCTCCTTGTGCTGTGGAGCTCTGGAACATGGATAGTGATCTTCTCATTACCACCCCTCCAACAGTGGTAAGCCTAACGTAGTTTCCTGAATGCAAAACTGAGACTCTAATTGCTGTTGTTTAGAAACACATATCTTTGCAAAATAGCGTGGGCCACTTTTCCAGTGAACATGGTCAAATGACTTACCCTGGAAACAGCCAGAATTTCCTAACTATAAAAACACCAATATCTACCCACATAAATAATAAATGACATTTACAGAAATAAATGCACTAGTATAATTTACTGTTAACTGAGCAAATAAATAAGTAAATAGATAAATAAAGAGAGGGACTTTGAGACATGAAAGGTTATTTTTGGTGCAGTGATTATTCTTTCCTTCTCAATGAGTGAAGATCTTAAAACAACATTATGGGAGAAAGGCTACAGTAAAAGAAAAAAATCAATAGGGCAATCAAACAGTTTTCTAAGATCTCAAGGCTATTGTCCTAACACACAAAGTGAAATTGCTTTTTAAAACATAACTCTATTTTAAGCCCTCTTTTTCAAGATTATCTGTGAAATATAAATGGTTGTGTAAAGTACGAGGTTCGCGTATGGGATATACATCTATATCTGCACTTGTGGTACAATTAATAGATCTGACACTCAAATAAGGGATTCAGCATTAACAGTGACATTTTGAATGGGCAAACTCTGCTGTGAAGTTTCTTGGGTATAGTATGTTCCAGTGGAAGATGAAAAAATACACTTGGCTGCCTCTGGCCCAGGCACTTCTGATTATTTTCTTCATGGATCTGCCAAATGTTTAAATACATCAAGATAAATTTCATGCTGGGTTATCACTAAACCTGGGGTATGGTAGATAGAATAGCACTCAGTCTGCCAAGGCCTAAATGTGGGATGCAGTGTGTGAAAAAGACCCCAAAATGAATAAAATTATTCATGCAGAAGACCCAAAATGCTGTGGAATTCATTCCTTTAATATAAGTAACTCTGTTGATAACTTCATGATTCTTTTTTTTCCTGAAGCAAATCATATCAATGCAAATTTGTTTGTAGTTAATGCATGTAAATTTGGGAGTAAAAGGAGGGATGTCCATTGAAATGAGGGACCTTTGAGACATATAACTATATAAAGCAGCAGTATGAATGCCACATGTTACAATTAGTTGGAGCCAAAATCTGCTCTCAATTACACCACGTAAACCTGTAATAACTCAATTGACTTCAGTGTCAGCAACAGCAGAATCTCCGCCAAAGTGCAGCTCTCTGAAACATAATCCTGTAAAAACAGCATCACAGGGAGTCCATGTTTATTTTATCTCAGTGACTCCATCTCAGCAACAAGAGGCTGGCTTTTCTCCTTCTCTTGCACCACCACCAGTAATAGAGTTGTTCAGCAAATGGGAGAAAAATAAAGTCATGACATTTCAATTCTCATTTCCTCCACATTTATTTTTTGTTGAAATTGTCTCACCAGATCTAAACAGCAATAAAAATGCAGCAAGCCAAATGATGTCCTCATGGACATCTGTCCCACACAACTATCTGAAAAGTATGGTTACACTGGTGCAGCACTGTACTTTATGGTAATCTAAACTGCAGGATGCTATAAGCACAGGGGATGTTAAGGATCCAGATATCAATATTAATCCAACATGACATAATCAAAGCTTCCTAAGGTATTTAGAAGACTGTTTTATGTTCCGGAAAGTAATGACCCCAACCAAATGTAGCTGTATCTACCAGTTGAGGACTGAACAGTGACTGAGAACAACAGAGAACCTTGGAATCTGTGTCTTTGAGCTACTTGACTTCATCAAAGCAAATGATTTACAGATTGCAATAGTACAAGGGCATTCGATTTGGGGGAACTGAGAAATCTGATGAATAAGGTACATGAGAGGGGATATTAAAATCCACTATTATGGAAGAAGTCTAGGGAGTCTTAAAAGCCACTCTAACAAAAGCACAATATTATAAAATTATTATTATTATTATTTAATAGCACCTAAGAGTGTACTAAGAAGTTCACAGTATGAAGATAAACTTCCTCATCTGAATTGCTTACAATCCAATCTCAGACATAACACAATGAAAGGAATGACAAAAGAGAAAAGGAGGAGGTTGAGGTGGAAAGACTGGCCTTGCAGCAGTATGATAATGCAGTTACTCAGCAAAGGCTTTTGCACAGCATGGTGGAGCAAAATAATTAAGGGTAAATAAAAATGAATTAATAACAGAACAGCCTGTCTTTCCTCTGAAAAAGAGGAGTCAAGAAATAGAAATGGGACAGTGGACTGTGCGACTGTCCAGAGATGTGAGGGTAAAACATGAATCTGACATAGAAGAGAGGAAGCAGTCAAACAAGAACAGTCAGAGTCAGGCAGGGCTTGAAGAGGAAATATGTGGGCAGCAAAAGTCTAAATGAATTGATCCTGTGCCTGAGGAAGTCTGAACTGAAAATAAACAACTCAAATTGGCTGCGATAGGAACATTGTCATGCAAACTGAAAACTGGCCAAAAAGCCTGTCGACAAAGGCTAAAATATACATGGCAATGGATAGAGTTGTGGGGAGGCATCTAACAGATTGGTAGGAGCAGTTTTATTTATCAGCATCATTCATGCCAACATGGCTCTGGCTCCAAGAAACCTGCATCACTTTTTAGTTCACTCCATCACTTCTCTCATGGTCTCCACAAGAAGCGAGCAAATAATGATGATTCTCTCTAAAAAACGCAACAACAAAATGTAACTGAACCATCTAAAAGGACACATGCCCAAATAACTACAGAATCCTGTTGCTGTAACCATTGTCTTTCCTCACTCTATTTCCTCTCCAATCTTTGTTTCCCCCACCATCGCTCCCGCCCCTTTATGCCAGGAAAAGGGCTGGAGTAGAGTAAAAGGGTTCTAAAAGGCCTGGATCCAGCTGGGAGAAAAGTTTTGCGGTGCAGAACTGAAGAAGACTGTTGGAGGCTGTCTCTCAAGAATCCTCTCACATGCCCTGGCACAGGATTGCCAGAAAGGTTGTATCAGGGGTGGGGCTCAAGCATGTAGCACTAAAGAGATTCTGGGCAATGCTCCTGCCATACTTAGGCATGGGCAGGTTGCCATAAGATAGAAGCTCCTCAGGACTAAATTACACCGAGGCCTGCTATGACCCCTGGAGCAATTCAGAATCAGGTGAGCACAAGAGTGACTTATTGTGACATTAGCTCCTCCTCTCTCTCTTAGAGGCAGAGCACAGAATCTCACTCATGATGTCAAAAACCATGGCTGATCCTGGAACTGACTGTACAGATGGACCCTCTTTGACTTCAGTGGGGCTCCATTCAGATACAGCAGTTTGCCTGCACAGTCAACTGCGGGATTGGGGGCTTTAACTGTAAGCGCCTCAGAGTGGAAACCTTCTCTCTGTTTGTCTTGTAGAGGGTCTAAGACATTTCCAAGTGGTATAGAAATTGATTAATATATAAAATTAATATATACAATTAATGATAAATATAAACCACAGCTTCACATTCTCTGTCAAATGTATGTAACAAAAGATACTGAGGTGTTCTTACTTTCTTCAGAAAGATCATTTTCTTCTGCTTCTCTCTCCATCTCTTTACACCATCCTTCCATCCTCTTCGTTTCAGTATGTAGCAACTTCATAAACCAAGACCCATCCCGTCGACATGGGGACATCCGACCAGTTTCAACTGTCTCAATGGCTGGCTCCAGCCAGGGTTCTGGTGGTGGAAGATTTGAGGTGTCAACCTGGGTCCTGTAATCTTCTCTGTAACTGAACAGTCCCTGTGTCCGTACTGTTCTTACTGCACCATATTGGGTAGGAGTGCTAGGCTCTGAATGCCTCTGGAATGATGAACCAAACTGAAGTCCCTTGTCCTCCATTGTTATGTGTCCTGGAAAGCCCTCCAGTTCCAGGTCAGCCTGAACAGCTGCTGTTACACTATTTGAACGTTTAAACCGTCCATGTCTTGGGCAAGGAAAAAAAAGAAAGAAAAATACGTACGTTGAGAGGGAATAATGTACTGGAAAAACACATCTGATTTTCTTTCTGCATCTAATAGTAAAAAATATTTTTGCTGGCATACAGGATATTTTTCAATTAATATTTGTCAAAATCTACCCTACAACTGATTTAGTTACTTAACGTAAGAGAGTGAATGACAACACAAAAAATCTATATGTCGTCTATCTGGTGTCATTATTGATCTGAACAAAGATATAAATGAAAATGATTTAAACCACCTTTGGAAGCGAATATTGATCTTTTCTCACATTACATTATATTGCACAACATTAATAAACAGAACTAGAAATCGCACCAAAGACCTGCAGTGCTGCATGTACTGTTGAAATGAAGACTATCAAATAAATATTTACAATTATTTCAAGTACTAAGTGTCTTACTCAAAGACATTCTGAGTTAAGGCTGTCAAGAATTTTGTAATAAATGTAAAAAGTGGTAGGAGGCTGGTGTGGTTTTATGTTTGTTCGCGTTTAAACACTGTATAGAACTATTATGAAATGGTGAGTGTGTCGTGATATACTTACCTTGGATACTGAAATATTAGAATAAATTCATGTTCAATAGTTGTAACAGAGGCTCAAAGGATTGTTCATGAAATATACAGGTCAATTGTTCAAATTTAGCTCATGTCAGTTGTAAGCAAAGGTGATTACTATCGTCAAAGGCTGTTTGATGGCTTCTGTGAAATTAGATAGTAGTCCCAGTCCAAAGCCAGGTGGACAAGTGTCTAAATAAAAACACCTACCACCACCAGAATTAGCACATTTGTCAGCAGTCTCAGGACAATCCTGGACAAGGATTGATTGACCATGGAAACTGACTCCTAGAAGTAGTCCCTTTAGGTCAGGGTTGAGGTAGGCCCCATCCTGCAAATGGACTGTATAGCATAAAGATTCAGCCATGGGGATCCCTTTGCAGGACTGGTGCGTCAGTGTGCTTGCACCGGTTCTGTGATTCCTCTCATTAAGTAGGAGCACTAAGTTCACCTTACAAACATTAACTTCCTCCCAATCGAAGAAAAAAAACCCTGGAAACTCTGAGTAAATATGAAGGGAGAGCTAAAGCATCTCTTACAACATTAGCAGTTGGCCAACATGCACATATAAGCCTGGCCTTGTGAATTATTTCTAGACAGCATCATCTACGTGTTTGCTAGCAGTTTGTTCACAAAAGTGTTTTGTCTTCTGAAAGGTTACACTTTTATTTTGCATGAGTTACCGTTTGTCATCTTCCACTTGCACTCCAACGGAATGGTATTCCCGTAGGCCTCTGCTCTCGGTATCTGAATCGGTTGCCGTTTCCACCTAATTCAACACAAAAGATACATCTGCAGAAGTGAACATTGACAATCCAACATTATATCTACCTACCTTTATATCAATTAATTATATATTTCTTTAATCACTTCAAAGAAACACCTAGCCCAGTAAAATCATTTAAATAAGCATTCAGTCTGGCATTATTGTTTTGGTGCTGTGTTTTATAAAACTGTGCATAACCACTTCTGCTCTGCTCTGTAATTCCCTTTCTTAAATGTATACAGATACAATTACTCAGTTTAATGCAGGCAGAAAGTAAGATTGGCTCGACTATTCTATTATTAGAACTGGGAACCCATAGTTTAGCCCCTTTATATATTATTAGCATACAACCTCATTATTTCCCAGGATTTACAAAATAAAATAAAGAAAATAGCCCCATAAAAATTGCAAGTCAAAAAAAGAAATGTTACAATGAATGGATTCTATTGACAACTGTGCCGACAAATAAAGAAATATTTAAGTGATAAAGAAGATACAGCATAATACCATAATACTCACCTTTCTTAACAACATAATCTTGAGAATACTGTATCAACTAAGTCAAGAATTTTTAAATAGTATTCCCCTCTGCAATACTCTTACAAAATATATTCACAATAGAGTTTTCACCTTTATTGGTACTACACATCAAAAAAACGACTACTACTACTACAACAAAAATTACTGCAGGCTTTACTATAAACACACACACACACACACACATATGTTGCAGCATGAAAATTATGTGGAATCTAAGGAGAGTCAAAGAAAAAATAATTAAAATAGAACGTTTTTCTCTTTTGGAGGATATTTTGTTTGTTAAACAAAATGAACGGCAGTTACCCATAAGTATAGTTAACATTACAAAAATATGTTTCCATAATATATTGGAAATATATATATTCCATTATATATTAGAAATAATTGTTAACTTAAGATACAGTGTTACTTTGAAATGGGACTGTATAAAACTGGCAACCATTTATTCACCAGGTCTCTCTCTGTGCATTCAGAGTCACATCTGCTGACTTAGTAACAAACATATATTTCTAGTAGCTTTTACTCCTGTTAGTTAATCATGTTGAGCCAACACAGCTAAGGTAGAGTAAACTGGTTTCTATTCCTTCTAGTCCAGTGGTTCTCAACTGTGGTCCACCGCCTGTTCAGGGAAAGCCCCTGGCGCGCCGGGCTGCTTTGTTTACCTGCTGCGTCCGCAGGTTCGGCTGATTGCGGCTCCCACTGGCCACGGTTTGCCACTCCAGACCAAGGGAGCTGCGAGAAGGGCAGCCAGCACGTCCCTCGGCCTGTGCCACTTTCTGCAGCCCCCATTGGCCTGGAGCGGTGAACCACGGCCACTGGGAGCCGTGACTGGCCGAACCTGCGGACCTGGCGGGTAAACAAACCGGCCCGGTGCGCCAGGGGCTTTCCCTGAACAAGCGGTGGACCACAGTTGAGAGCCCCTGTTCTAGTCCATCATCAACAGAATTATTCACTAAATTACATTTAAGAAGCAATAAATTAAACCTGCATAAATATACTGAAGATAATGGTGTTGCACAGATCTCACTAGGAGAATCATCTGAAGATAAAGGTAAGGTCATGGCAATTTAGCCAGATATTTAGCCTCCATGTGGATTGCCCAGTGCCTCAGAAACATCAGAGAAGATTTCCCTATGTGTTCAATGTGGGCTAAATCTTTGCACTAATGGAATGATTTGGGAACATCTCCATGGAGAGAGCATTTCAGAGAGTTCCTCCTCCAAAGTGCCCTCCTATGGGCATTTCTGCAGGAGCTCTGGATGACTATAATTTACCCAATATGTAACTGACACAGGAATTTATAGGAATGTATATATAGTTGATCTACACTGAACTTTTATATGACTGAAAACACAGTTATCAGTAAAATTACAGTCCAGGTGTCAAAATGGCTTTGGCACGAGTTCCTTCTAAACAGGAAACTCTGCCAAATTATCCTCCCATCCAGCTTGCCAAAGCTGACACTAAGTAAATGCTCTGATGATTGCTTTCACATTTTAATACCTTTCATTTGCTTGCTGTGCCCTGCAGCAGGAGGAGGATGCCAAATAAGGACTTTTGATGTAATTTGGAGAGCAAATATTGTAACACCTGACAAACCGAAAACAAACCTGCAAAATGGAAGCAAAGGCTGAAACAAGTAAAAGCTTGAAAACATCAGTTTCATCTAACAATGCGGGGGGGGGGGGGGGAGTGGTGAACAATTTCTGCGAAACATAGGCAGTGTAAGGTTACCTTCTGCGAAAAAAGAGAGATAATTCAAATTTGATCAGATTGGCCAGGCTTCATTTAGAGCTGGTCGATAATTTTTCAACTAAATGTTTCTTTCTAAAAACAAACAAACAAAAAACAGACTTTTTGTGGAAACGTATCCATTTCAACAAAACCTTCAAGGAAGGTTTCTCAGGATGAAATGTCTGGTCAAAAACAGAGACCCACTCCAGAATAGCTAATAGCCCAGTGGTTGGGGCACTCCCCAGGGATGCAGAAACCCAGGTTCAAATCTCTCTCTATTTGATTTGAAGCAGGAACTTGACCATGAATCTCCCACATCCCAGGTAAGGGCCCTAACTACTAGGCTCATGGCCATCCTGAGGTGGGTTTCCCTGTTTTTTGTGAAATATTTTGAAAGGTCTTAGTTTCATCTTGATGCAGAACAAAAAACAAATGTAGAGACCTTGAAATATTTTGCAAAACAGAATTCTTGTCTTCCAGCCAGCCTCAGCTTAATTTACATAAGATCGGGCATAGACACCAATGATCCAATTAGCCCAACATCCTGTCTTCTGACAGTGGCTAGTGCCAGATGCTTCAGAGTGAATTAAAAGAGCAGGGTAATTATCGAGTGATCTATCCCCTATCATCCAGTCTCAGCTTCTGGCAGTCAGAGGATTAGGGACACCCAGAGCATGAGGCTGTGCCCTGATGATCTTGGCTAATAGCTATTGAGGTACCTATCTTCCACAAACTTATCTAGGTCTTTTTTTTAACCCAGTTATACTTTTGGCCTTCATAACATCCCCTGACAAAGAGTTCTACATGTTGACTGTGCACTGTGTGAAGAGGTACTTCCTTATGTTTGTTTTAAACCTGCTACCTATTAATTTCATTGGGTGACCCTGTTTCTTGTGTTATGTAAAGGGGTAAATAACACTTCCTTATTTACTTTCTTCACACCAAAGTCATGATTTTATAGACCTCTATCAGATCCCCCTTTAGTCGTCTCTTTTCTAAGCTTAAGAGTCCCAGTCTTTTTAAGTCTCTCCTTGCATTTTTGCTGCCCTTCTCTTTACCTTTTCCAATTCTAATATATCTTTTTTGAGTTGGGGCGACAAGAACTGCATGCAGCATTCAAGGTGTGGGCATACCAGAGATTTATATAGTAGCATTGTGATAATTTCTGTCTTATTATCTATCCCTTTCCTAACAGTTTCTAACATTGTTAGCCTTTTTAACTGATGTACATTGAGCAGATGTTTTCAGAGAACTATCCACAATGACTCCAAGATCTCTTTCTTGAGTGGTAACAGCAAACTGAGACCCTGTCATTTCGTATGTATAGTTGGAATTATGTTTTCCAAAGTGCATTACTTTGCATTTATCAACACTGAGTTTCATCTTACATTTTTTTGCCCAGTCACCCAGTTTTGTGAGATCCCTTTGTAACTCTTTGCAGTCTGCTTTGGACTTCACTATCTTGAGTAACTTTGTATCATCTGCAAACTTTACAACCTTACTGTTTACATAATTTTCCAGTTCATTTATGAATATGTTGAACAACATGGGTCCTAGTACAGATACTTGGAGGAGCCCGTTATTTACCACTTTCCATTGTGAAAACTGACCATTTATTCCTACTCTTTCCCCCCCGTTTTTTAACCTGCTACTAATCAATAATAGGACCTTCCCTTCTTATCCAATGACTGCTTACTTTGCTTAAGAATTTTTGGTGTGGGGCCTTGTCAAAGGCTTTCTGAAAGTCGCAGTATACTATGTCAACTGGATCACCCTTGTCCACCTGTTTGTTGACCCCCCTCAAAGAATTCTAATAGATTGGTGAGGCATGACTTCCCTTTACAGCATATCATGTTCATCTACATGTCTGGTAATCATGTTCTTTACTATAGTTTCAACCAATTTGTCTGGTACTGAAATTATTTGCCTGGTATCAACTCAGTTCAAGTTATTTGCCTGGTATCAACTCAAGTTCAGCTCAGCACAGGGGAAAAGGTAACACGTTTGGTTTTGTCATGTGGCTCCCAAAACTTGGATGAATCTTACCGAAGTAGATTTATTCTCCGTGATCCTTGAATATTTTATTACTCACTAGCATGCATTCCAAATAGTTTAATATTTGAAATCCTGGCCATGCCATCAGCAATATGATATATGGTGAAAGACAGTCATGTAGCCCCAGCTCCACAAAGTGACTTAGGTGTTGCAACACTGAGCATCACAACGCCTAACTTTTAGGCACCCAGAAAATCACTGGAACAACACTGGTATCCACAAAGCCTAAGTTAGGTACCTACATTCCCTATATGATGAACAGGGAGAGACAGGTGCCTAAAATGAGATTCACAAAATCCAGCACACTATGTGGGGTGCCACCTAAAGTAAGAAATGGGAGATGCAGAGGAGAGGATGGTGTGCTAAACCACCTTTAAACATCCACCCTTCTTATGTGGTTAGAATCATAGAAATGTAGGGCTGGAAGGGACCTTGAGAGTTATCTAGTCCATCCCCCTTTGCTGAGGCAGGACCATGTATATCTAGAGCATCCCTGACAGGTGCTCTCCTCCAATGTGCTTGCAACCAAGGTCGGTATCATCCAAAATTTTATAAGCATATGTGGACTTTCAGAAAGCCTTTGACAAGGTCCATCACAACAGTCTCTTAAACAAAGTAAGCAGTCATGGGATAAGAGGGAAGGTCCTCTCATGGATCAGTAACTCGTTAAAAGG